TAAAAAAAAAAAAAAAAAAACAATAAAAAAAAATTCACGAGCTCGCGAGCAGCTCGTGGGCTCGGCTCGACCCACGAACTCGTGGCTCGTGAGTACACGAGCTTGTGGGCCGAGTCGAGTTCGCCCACGAGCAACAAGCCGAGCTCATGGGTTAACGACCCTCAAATGGGGGTTAAATTTCCGTCTTCAAAATTGGCCTCTGAAATTAGTGTGGCGTTTATGGTGTCCATTTCTTCAACAGGTGACAATGGTACTTAGATATGGGCAAGTAGCATCATAGAGTGGGTACACAGTCGGCCGCATCATTTGATTCGAGGAAGATAGATGCGTGCGTGATTGGAGGATTTTTTGTGACATGGACATGGACATGGTTAACTCCGTTAGTAGATCATGTAGGATTGCCATTTGACCCATGTATTTTTCATTCATTTGGAGAAATGATAGTTAAAATAAGGTCAGGAATGAGTAATTATATAAAAAGATAAGCGAGTACTGAATAACTCGTCAATGATGAATGAGTAAGTAATAAAACGTTTAATATTCAATTGGGCCATGTTTGATAGGAATTTTTTTCTATGAAAAATGGAAATTATTTTCCAACTTCAACATTTTTGGATGTTAGATAGACTAATTTTCTAGGTAATTCATTTTCTTGCTTTTGCCCTATACGTGCACATTTTCTTTTTTTTTGGGGAAAATGAATTCCCATGGGTATGGTGGTTTTTCAAATTCCAGCTCTCTCTTTTTTTTTTTTAATTATATATTAATGAAAACAAATTCTAAGAATTATTGTAAAAAAATATTTCCATATAAAATAAAGTCAAATGAACACCAAAAGATAAATGATTTTCTTATTTTTTTTTTTGGCAATAGAAGCAAATTTCATCTCCAATACCAGTAAAATATATTCCTTTAATTGATAATTTTCATGTGAAACAAAGTCAAACGAATACCAAAAAATACTTACATTTCAACATTTTTTACATCAAAAATTATACCAATCAAATACAATAATTTAAAATTTTCAAAAAAATAAATTTTAGACAATTTAATTCCTTAAAATTTATTTTCAATTCTATTTTTGCAATCAAATTCATTAAATCGCAAAAGAATCAAAATCAAACCGGCTTAATCATTGTCACCAAGAAGGAAGTTGAAGGGGCAGCTTTTGCTATAAATACAGCACAGACTACTCTGCATTTTCTCTGCAAAAACTTGCCGGTTGGTTAGAGCATTGTTTACACTAAGGGCAGCAAAAAAATGGCTCTCTCTTCTTCCTCCTTTTTTATCACTTGCTTTACAGTTCTGTTTGCCTCTCTACTTCTGGGTGGCACCGCCTACCCCACCGCCAAGCACTACCCTGTCCGCCACCGCCGCCACCCCCACATTGCCTCTCATAACTACAGAGATGCACTCACCAAATCTATTATGTTTTTTGAGGGACAGAGATCGGGGAGACTTCCTCCTAATCAAAGGATTTCCTGGAGGAGAAATTCTGGCCTCTCAGATGGCTCTGCTGCTCATGTACGTGTGCTTTTTCTTTACTAAAAAATAAACAGCTTTGTGATTTTTTGCTTATTTTAACTGGGTTTTGCTTATTTTGAGTTTACATGACAATGCAGGTTGATTTGGTTGGCGGGTATTATGATGCAGGGGATAATGTGAAGTTTGGGTTTCCAATGGCATTTACCACAACCATGCTTTCTTGGAGTGTTATCGAATTTGGTGGGCTTATGAAAGGAGAGTTGCAGAATGCAAAAGAAGCCATTCGCTGGGCTACTGATTATCTTCTCAAAGCCACTACTCACCCTGACACCATTTATGTCCAGGTTTTCACTTTTTATTCTCTTATTCACCATTAATATGGTAGTTTGATAGCCAGTTTAAAGCTTTGTCGAATCTTATTCACTAATAATATGTGAAATGTAAAATTTGTCGAATCTGATTCAGCAATAGTATGTAAAATGGGCCTGTGATTTGGGGATTTA